TAACAAAATTTAAAGTGTTTTGTTCATCTTTACAGAAAATAATTTAACCACTTAAAGACCAGGCCCTTTCTGACACTTTTTGTTTACATGTAGCAATCAGTATGCTAGAACATTTCTTAGAACCCCTATACATTATATATTTTTTTAAAGCAGAGACCCCATAAATTGGTGGGTTTTGCAAATTTTTATGTCACATGGTATTTGCACAATGGTTTTTTCAAATGCAATTTTTTGGGAACTAATACACCTTTTTGAATTTTAATGCAAAACAACACAATACATAACCCAATGTTTGGTAAAATATAAAAGATGATGTTATGCCAAATAAATAGGTACCAAACTTGTCATGCTTTACAATTGAACATGCCCTTCACAAATTACGTTAATTTTACTATCCATAAGGGATGCTTTAAAATCCTTTACAGGTTACCACTTTAGATTTACAGAGGACGTCTGGTGCTAGAATTACTGCCAATGATCTGATGTTGATGCAGGAGAGAGGTGTGGGTGCCAGGGAGATACCGGTAAAAACCACGGAAGGCGGCGGAAGTCCCCTCCTGCTGCTTGTAATAGCAATTGAGCGGCTAGTTAGCCACTCCGATTATTATCACAAGAGAGACGACCTTCGGCTATAAAAAAATGGTACCGCAGCTGCAGGCATCATCCCAGTACAACTACTGTACCAGGTACATGACTGGACGGCAAGTGGCTCAAATAACACCATAACCCCCCCCCCCCTCGGCTCAAACTGTGCCTACTTCTGGGGTTGATGAACTGTCAGGGGTCGCACAGCAGGTACAGCGTTGAAATCCTCCCCCTCTCCTCCCTCTTCTCTGTGCTGTGTTTTGGGGATTGACCAGAGCTATTCTGATTAGTCATCTCCACCACAGAAGAATTTGTGGCACATTTTTTTTAATTCTGTAGGTCATGTGATTTCTGAAAATATATGGTTTAGGGGTATTTAACAAACTCTGAAAGCTCTAAGTGAAAAATAATAAACAAAAAGGAAAAATTGCAAAAATGGTCTGGCCACTACATTTTCCCCTCCAGACCCCAATTACTATGCCCTGGTACTACCCTGTACTTTGCCCTCCTGACCCCCCCACTACTGTGCCCTATTGCACCCCTGTACTGTGCCCTCCTGACACTCCAGTACTGTGCCCTGGTGCCCCTCTGTAACTTACCCTCCTGACCCGCCAGTACCATGCCCTGGTTCTGCCCTGTTCTTTGCCCTTCTGACCCCCAGTATTGTGCCCTGGTGCTCCCTCTTTACCTTGCTCTCCTCAGTACCATGCCCTGGTTCCCCTCTGCACTTTGCCCTTCTGACCCCCAGTACTGTGCCCTGATGCCCCTCTGTTCTCTTCCCTTCTCACCCCCACCCCCCCAGTACTGTGCCCTGTTGCTCCCCCTGTACTTTTCTCTCCTGACCCTCCAGTACTGTGACCTGTTGTAACCTTGTATTTTTCCCTTCTGACCCCCAGTACTGTGCTCTGATGCCCTCTGTACTTCGCACTTCTAGTCCCCCATTACTGTGCCCTGGTGCCCCCCTGTACTTTGCCCTCCTGACCCCCAGTACTGTGCCATGGTGCACCCCTGTGCTTTTCCCTCCTGACCCCCAGTATTGTGCCCTGGTGCCCCTCTGTACTTTGCCCTTCTAATCCCCCAGTACTGTGCCCTGGTGCACACCTGTACTGTCCCCTGGTGTCCCCATACTTTTCCCTCTTGACCCCCCACTATTGTGCCCTGGTGCATGCCTGTGCTTTTCCCTTTTGACCCCCCAGTACTGTTCCCTGCTGCCTCCAGTACTGTTCCCTGCTGCCTCACTATGCTTTTCCTTCTGACCCCCAGTACTGTGCCCTAGCCCACCTCTGTACTTTGGCCTCCTGACTCCCCAGTGCCATGCCCTGGTTCTCCCCTGTACTTTCCCTTTTCTGACCCCCCCCAGTACTGTGCAATGGTGCTCCCCCTGAACTTTGCCGACCTGTCCCCCCAGTACTGTGCCCTGGTGCAACCCTGTACTGTGTCCTGCTGTCCTCCAATACGGTTCACTGGTGCCCCTCTCTACTTTGCCCTTCTGACCCCAAGTACCATGCCCTGGTGCACCCTTTCATTTTGCCCTCCTGACCCCCCCCCCCAGTCCATACCCTGCTGCTACCCAGTACTGTGCTCTGGTGCCCCCTATCCTTTACCCTCCTAATCCCCCACTACTGTGTCTTATTGCATCCCTGTACTTTTCACTCCTAACCTCCTAGTACCATGCCCTGCTGCCCCCCTGTACTTTGCTGTTCTGAACCCCAGTATTCTGCCCTGATGCCCCTCTGTACTTTGCCCTTTCTGACCCCCCCCCCCTTCCCCAGTACCATGCCCTGGTGCTCCCGCTGTACTTTGTTCTCTTGACCCCCAGTACTGTGCCCTGGTGCACCCCTGTATTTTGGCCTCCTGACCCCCCCCCCCCCAGTACTGTGCCCTGGTGCACCCCTGTGCTTTTCCATCCTGACCCCCCATACTGGGTCCTGGTGCCTCTCTGTGCTTTGCATTCCTGATTTCCCTAGTACAGTGCCCTGCTTCCCCCCTATCCTTGCCCCCCTGACCCCCCCCAGTACTGTGCTTTGCTGCCCCCTAGTACTGTGTCCTGGTGCCCCCCCAGTACTTTTCCCTCCTGACCCCCAGTACTGTGCTTTGCTGCCCCCCCAGTACTGTGCCTTCCTGTACTTTGCCCTCCTAACTCTCCAGTGCCATGCTCTGGTTCCCCCATGTACTCCCTGCTGTCCCTCAGTACTGTGCCCTGGAGCCCCCCTGTGGTTTTCCCTCCTGAATCCCACAATTGTGCCCTGGTGCCCCTTGGAATTTGCCCTCATGACCCCCCAGTACTGTGCCCTAGTGTTCCTCTATACTTTGCCCTCCTAAATCCCCAGTTCCAAGCCCTGGTGCCCCCCCTGTACTTGTTCCTTCTGACCCCTCACTACTGTGCTCTGGTGTCCCTCTGTACTTTGCCCTCCTGACCCTCCATTACTGTGCCCTGTTCCCCCTGTACTTTTGTCCTCCTGACACCTCAGTACTGTGCCCTGATGCTCCTCTGTACTTTACACTCCTGAGCCCCTCCAGCACTATGCCCAGTTGCTCCGTGTACTTTGCCTTCCTTGCTCCCCCCCCCCCCCAGCACCGCGATCTGATGCCCCCCTCTACTTTTCCCTTCTGACCTCCCAGTACTGTTCCCTGGTGCCCCTCTGTACTTTGCCCTCCTGTCCCCCCATACTGTGGCCTGCTGCCCCCTGGAATTTACCCTCTTGAACCCCCCCAGTATTGTGTCTTTCTTCCTGCTGTACTTTGCCCTTCTGACTCCCCCCCCCAGTACCATGCCTTGGCGCCCCCCCTGTATTTTACTCTCCTGACCCCCCAGCCCCATGCCCTGCTGACCCCCTGTACTTTTCCCTCCTGACCCCCAAGTACTGTGATTTGCTGCCCCCCCCTGTACTTTGTTCTCCTGACCCCCCCCCAGTACTATTGCCCCTCTGTATTTTGCCCTCCTAAATCCCAAGTTCCAAGTCCTGGTTCCCTCCCTGTACTTGGTCCTTCTGATCCATCAGTACTGTGCACTGGCACCCCTCTGTTCTTTGCCCTCCTGACCCCCATTACTGTGCCCTGTTCACCCCATACTTTGCCCTCCTGACCCCCCAGTATTGTGTGCCGCTGCCCCCCAGTATTGTGCCCTGGTGCCCCCCTTACTTTGCCCTCCTGACCCTCCGGTACTGTGCCCTGATGCTCCTCTGTACTTTACCCTCCTGACCCCCCCCCGCAGTGCCATGCCCTGGTGCTCCAAGTACTTTACTGTCTGGGTCCCTCATTACTCTGCCCTGCTGCCCCCTGGAATTTACCCTCCTGAACCCCCCAGTAGTGTGTCTTGCTTCCTGGTGCCCCCCTGTACTTAACCTTCCTGACCCTGCAGTATGGGGCCCTTGTGCCCCTCTGTACCTTGTCCTCTTCACCCCTCAGTACCATGCCCTAATGCCCTTGTAGTTTGCCCTTCTGACCTCCATTACTGTGCCCTGGTCCCCCCTATACTTTACTCTTCTGACCCCCAGTACTGTGTCCTAATGTTCCACTGAAGAAGCCCTTCTTGGCTATGTTTCTGTTCTTATTGTGAGAAATCTTCCTGTACAGCGCAAATTACTTCTACAAAAAAGCTGACAGCTTGGTGGAAACGGGTAAACAAACTCCCAGCTATACGTATACAGTAGGAGTCCGGAGTCTGTTTACATGTGGGTGCTACCACAGATACTGTATAGTGCTACACCCATGGCAGCGGAAGGCTTATATACCTTTCATTTCCTCATTCCACATTGCATCCCATCCTATTTTATAATTATTGTAGAAAAAGGATATAGGAAGTTACATGGAATTCAAGTTTTCCCCTTAGTTTCAGTTTGATATACATTGCAAGTTCAAAATAACAGTTTAAAAGGTTCATTCATTTAGCAGGGGTAATAAATAGTGGTGTTATTGTAGCGCTACCCTCACGAGAGCCACTGTGTTGTGGGTTCCTCTAAGCCAGCCTTTCTCAACCAGGGTGCCCAGGCACCCTGGGGTGCCTTGAGGTTTCTTCAGAGGTGGTTTGGCAAAATGTCTAAGAATTGGCCAAAACTTGTATACAAGCCAGCTGGTGGAACAATTCTGCCTTCTAGTTACACAAAGCCACAGGTTTTCATTGTGCACCATAACAACCTTCTAGCCAACAGCGTCCTGACAACCAATTACATCATCAGTTGATAAGGAGGATGTCAGCTGCCTGCACGGCATCCTTGTTTGACCCTCCCTTGCCTCTCTCCATCAGTGCTGGGGTCACATTAGCTCAGTTAGGGAGAAGAGAAACACTGGAATACTAGTCAATACCAGTGTGAAAAAGTGTATTTGCTTTGGAAGAATAAATCCCCTTTTATGTTGGGTGTATGTTGCTGTTGTATAAAAATATTAGAATCATTTTTTCACGTAGAATGGGGTGGCCTTTTAAAATTATGGACAGTCTTGAAGCACCCCATTTTAGAATGGGGTGCCTCAAGATTGTCCATAATTTTCAAGGGTGCCTCAAGACTGTCCATAATTTTAAAGGGTACCACGGGACTGTCCATAATTTTAAAGGGTGCCTCAAGACTGTCCATAATTTTAAAGGGTGTCTTGGGACTGTCCATAATTTTCAAGGGTGCCTCGGGACTGTCCATAATTTTAAAGGGTGCCTTTTGATGTTGAATTTCTAGACAGCAGCTGTCACATTGGAAAGGTCCAATCGTAATGGAGGTGATGGGTGGGTTCAGTGTTTGACTTCTCAGCCCTTTAGCCTTATTCTCTAAGTGGTGTATGCATTGTGTATAGTGCGCCCAGAGCCTGGAGGACTCATTGGCCTCTATAGGCTACATGGGTAAGAAGTGATGTCACCAACGTGAGAAAGAAGTGTTGAAAGAGGATTCAGCCTCTCCACCTATCTGCATTTCCCTGGAGACAAGGGGAGCTGGGATGGGGGAGTGAGGGGCGAAGGGGCACAGATGGAATATGCAGTGTCAGAGTTGCCAGCTGGCAAAATGGTGCAGTGTCTGAAGTTCAGTGACAGAGATGCTGGCAGGCAAGAAGGTTCACAGTCAGGGGTGCAGTAGTAGGGGTGCTGGAGAGCAGGAGGATGCCATGTCATGGTGCAGTGTGCCAGGAGTAGTGGGCTCTTCATAAGCCCCAATGCAAATGCTGTCTACTTGTAAGCCTGCAGGGAGACTGCTCTGACTGAGCGACACCCTATACAGTGCAGGCTCTGGCTCCCTGAATGCATCGTTCACTGATCTAGGGTAAGTGCAAGGGAGTTTAGTTACCATAGGGAAGGGATCATTAGAATTAAGTTTTTTGAAAGTATAGTTAGACATTAGACCCCCTTAAGACCTACATGATGCAGTAATGTGCATTTTTTAGGAACAGTAACATGTAGTATGAGATAGACTCATTACATGCAAAGCAAGATAGTTCAAGCCGTGAATTGTGATGATTATGGCTTACAGCTCATGAAAACCCCAAATCCACAGTCTCAGAAAATTAGAATATTACATGCAATCAATAAAACAAGGATTGTACATAGAACAATATCGGACCTCTGAAAAGTATAAGCATGCATATGTACTCAGTACTTGATTTGGCCCCATTTTGCAGCAATTACTGCCTCAATGCGGCGTGGCATGGAAGCTATCAGCCTGTGGCACTGCTGAGGTGTTATGGAAGACCAGGATGTTTCAATAGCGGCATTCAGTTCTTCTGCATTGTTCGGTCTCATGTCTCTCATCTTTCTCTTGGCAATGCCCCATAGATTCTCTATGGGGTTCAGGTCAGGCGAGTTTTCTGGCCAATCAAGCACAGTAATCCCACTGTCATTGAACCAGGTTTTGGTGCTTTTGGCAGTGTGGGCAGGTGCCAATCCTGCTGGAAAATGAAGTCAGCATCCCCATAAAGCTCATCTGCGGAAGGAAGCATGAAGTGCTCCAAAATCTCCTGGTAGACGGCTGCGTTGACCCTGGACTTAATGAAGCACAGTGGACCAACACCAGCAGATGACATGGCTCCCCAAATCAACACAGACTGTGGAAACTTCACACTGGACTTCAAGCATCTTGCAGTGTGTGCCTCTCCATTCTTCCTCCATACTCTGGGTCCTTGGTTTCCAAATGAGATGCAAAAGTTGCTCTCTTCAGAAAAGAGGACTTTGGACCACTGAGCAACGGACCAGGTCTGTTTTTCTTTAGCCCAGGTAAGACACTTCTGACATTGTTTGTTGTTCAGGAACGGCTTGACAAGAGGAATACGACATTTGAAGCCCATGTCCAGGATCCGTCTGTGTGTGGTGGCTCTTGATGCACTGACTCCAGCCTCAGTCCACTCCTTGTGAAAGTCCCCAACACTTTTGAATGGCCTTTTCCTGACAATCCTCTCCAGGCTGCGGTCATCCCTGCTGCTTGTGCACCTTTTTCTTCCACACTTTTCCCTTCCACATAACTTTCTATTTATGTGCTTTGATACAGCACTTTGGGAACATCCGACTTCTTTTGCAATTACCTTTTGAGGCTTTCCCTCCTTATGGAGGGTGTCAATGATGGTTTTCTGCACAACTGTCAGATCAGCAGTCTTTCCCATGATTGTGATTCCTACTGAACCAGACTGAAAGACTGTTTAAAGGCTCAGGAACCCTTTGCAGGTGTTATGACTTAATTATCTGATTAGAGTGGGACACTTTGAGCCGAGAATATTGCACCTTTTCACAATATTTTAATTTTCTGAGATTGTGGATTTGGGGTTTTCATGAGCTGTAAGCCATAATCGTCACAATTATGACAAATCACAGCTTGAGCTATCTTACTTTGCATGTAATGAGTATATTTCATATCTTAGTTTCACCTTTTAAGTTGCATTACTGAAATAAATGAACTTTTGCACGATATTCTAATTTTTCGAGTTTCACATGTATATTAGGGAATCAGGACCTCCTACTGCTGACCACTCTGTAGTAATGCATCCTAGAAATCTATTCGCTTTCTGCCTGGTCACACTATTTGCTCATTTTGCAATCTGAAATAATTACCCCCAAATTATTTTTCTCTGTAGTGCTGGGCTACATTGTACCCCCAATGTTGTACTCTCTCAATGGATTCTTTTTCCCTATGTGCATTGTTTTACATTTACAAACACTGAACTGAACTAAACTTCAGTTTCCACTTTTTTTACCAATTTTTCAGCAATGCCAAATTATGTTTCATGTTACAAATACCTCCAGGGATATCAACCCTATCACACACCTTTGTATCATCAGCAAAAAGGCATACCTTGCCCAACAAGCCTTTAGTTATGTCACTTACATATAGATTAAATAGAACAGGACCTAGTACAGAGCCTTGTGGTACACCACTAGTGACTGGTCTCTGTTCTGAGTGAACCCCATTTACAACCACAATCTGGTATCTATCCTTTAGCTAACTGCATATCCACTGAACCACCTAAGGGCTAAGTCCTAGCTTGTACAACTTTTGTATGAGATCATTATGTGGAACTGTATCAAATGCCTTGCTGAAATCAAGACATGCTATGTCCACAGCACCACCAAAACTTTGGTAATATAGTAAAAAAATTCAGTCAGATTAGCCTGACATGATCTGCCCTGAGTAAAACCATGCTGCTTTGGGTCCAGCAAGTTGTGTATTTTTAAGTGATCAATGATCCTTCTTTTCAGGAGTGATTCCATTTACTCGACTACAATCGATGTTAAACTCACTGGCCTGTAATGTCCAGCTTCTACATTGTGGTGCCATTGGCCTGTATTTGCCAGTTTTTACCTTGTGGTGCCATCCATGTAGAAAACCACCCCAAAGGACAAGCACAGTAAGTGTCCATGGTCTCACACTGCAGTGCACCATAACATACATGCCTTGTGTTATGGGATGCTGCATTAAAAAAGGTGCAACTGTGCTTGTTTCCATTGACATCCATTGGCAGCTTATTCTTGATGAAATGGTTGCCCTAATGCAAAACACGTTATCAGTAGAGCATCGCAAGGAAATTGCATTGTGTGAAGGGGACCCTTATATTTTGATCTGCACTGCTGGCAATGTAATGTGTAGACTATAATGATTTAGTAGGGGGCTTCCCAGAATGGCAGGCAGTATTTGCTCTCCTATCTGTCCAGCTTATTAAACCTCAGCACTATATTATATATTTAAGATCTTAGCAAATATGTTTTAAAGCAATTCAGAGTTTATAAAGTTGGATTTCTTTTGTTAAAACAATCATTATGTAATTTATTGAAAAAAAAAATATAAATGCCCTATAATTGGTTTTACCTTAAAGGATAGGGAAACTTTCAAACAGCGTTTTCTGAGTGTTTTCTTCTCCCCCATTCTAATCTTTTCCCTCGCTGTAGACTCATACAGTTCTGGCGTCCACCAGTGTTCTGCAGTAGTGTTTACCTGTTGCTATTGCATCGTAAAGTGGTATTGAACCCAAACATAAAAAAGTATTACATTGCAGCTGACCAATCCTTAGATGTGGCAGCTGCATTCTTTTTTACAGCTTTTTTTTTTCTTTATTTCATCTGGTGATGTGCCAGTTAAGTCTGGATTTTTAAACTTCCTTTAACACAACAGGCTGTCCAAACAAAGTATCAGTCAGAGAAGTCAAAGAGTTGAGACAAACTATTTGATGCTGACAATAGTGCTTACAAGGGTCAGCTTTTATTCATTTATCTGTATCCCAAAACGAAAAAAGCTGTTTGCTATAACTGCTGAAAAGTGTTGGAGTTCAGGTTCAATTTGTTAGTTAAAGCAGTAGCAAAGACCTCCATGCTGATTATCTACAGATAAGTGTACTGCACTGTTTAGGAGATATTTATTTTAGTAGCAGCCAGTGATGTCACATGTGACATCACTGCAGACAACGCATGTGCACTGTGTTCTTAACGGAGAGCATGCCATCCATTCAGAGCACTGTGCCATGGCCGTGTCTCCTGCATTTATGTATGGAAGTGAGGTCATCGCAGTTCGGCCATTCAAACACCCGCAGAAGGAAGACCGGGTAAAGATGGAAGCCCCAGCAGTAGTGACAGCATGCCGCTGGAGGGCCTAGATTTAAGTTAAATCTGTCATAATGTGCTAGTATGTCATGCATACTAGCACATTATAAAACTACCTGTACTGGACCAATTTTTTTTATTGTGAGATTTATTTACTTCCGCTTTAAGTCCATCTAGCTCTGCATCTAACACTACCCTCTCCCCAACTGACAATGCTGCTGTCCAACTTTGTTTGCTTTATTACTTCAATATGAATGCAGACTCCCTAAGACAGGAAGTGTGTTACTGGCTGGATCACCGGGTAAAATAAAAGCAAAAAAAAAAAGGCCTAAAAAAATACTAATACAGCCACCACATCTAAGGATTGGTAAGCTGCAATATATTATATTTGGGATTTTGGATTTAATACTGCTTTAACTTTTCACTATGTAGGCAGCTGATCCCCATAGACTTCTAGGTGTCTAGGAAACTGATCTGCTGCCAAAACCATAGAAGTCTATGGGGTTCTACAGTGCATGACAGTGCTGCTGATCTTCACTGATCTGCTGCAAAAACCATAGAAGTCTATGGGGTTCAACAGTGCATGTCAGTACTGCTGATCTTCACTAACTTTAACAGATGAGCACACATACCATCGATCAGCTCAAAGGAAGTCTCCCATTGCTAATAACTTATTTCCATCTCTCTTAAGTAGATCATGTACTTAGAAGCCAAAACTAAGCTCATAGTGATGGGAGACCTCCTATGCTGGGAGCTGATTGCATACATGTGATACAACTGCTACA